TTCGGTTGATGTACAGGTCGGGAAAATTGCTGTTGGTGGTAAAAATCCGAGCGGTCGGTAATGTGGATTTAGGTGAGTGATTGGTGGGAGAGGGACGTGCGAGCGATATTCGGAAATAAGATTGCTAGGACTTTTTTATTCCGCTCTGACGCTAGCCCAACCGATGCAAATTCAAATGTAGAGTTGTTTAGTTCAGGGCACTTGAAGTTTACAACCTCAAAAATATTCTGGTCTGATTTAATCCTACCCTGTTTATGGATATGTATGCGCATATTTTTGCATCTTACACATTTTCTCAAGGATGATATTTGTTCAGAACCATGAATTCGGCGGAGAAGAAGCATCTGGTGCCGGCAGTCTTTTGCCAGTCACTTGAGAGGATGGGGCACATTCTAATTTCATTTCTCACTTGATCATGTTCATGACGAATCTTTCAGGTATTTATAGCAGTGATTATTGTTCGTCGATATATCTCAATCACGGCGTGCTTGTGGTAGGCTATGGCAGGGAAAAATTACCAGGTAGCAAGGAATACATGGACTACTGGATTGTGAAAAACAGGTTCCATCCTTCCAAATAATTTCTGCAGCTTTTTGTGCACAGTTTAAATAATTCTCGAAAGTAAATATCTGAGAAATTTCAAAAAAATGATGGAAGATGAGAGAGAGCCGATCTTCACTAATCTGCTTCTCAAAAATTCTGAAGGTAAAACTGTGCACAGTTTATGCGAAAGTTTTCCGATGTTCTTTTCATTGAATGCTTTCAGCTGGGGCGCAGATTGGGGCGAGGATGGTTACTTCAGGATTGTTCGGAATCAGAACATGTGTGGAATTGCGACCGCTGCTAGTTATCCGGTAGTGCTATGAATTGCGGAATTTATAAAATTTTGAAATTGTAGAATGAAAAGTTTAGAAGAATTCTGAAGTGTAGAATCAGCCAATAAATGATTTATTTATGGTCACGTGTACGCTACCGAAACTTTACCTGATTTCAGCGTTCTCGAAAATCCATGAGTTTTTCACAAAGCACAATCGCTTCTTTGAATAGTAAGGCAATTTATAAAATTTGGCTCGATTCGGCGCACAAATTGTATTCGTTTATAGGTTTTGGAGTGAGTGAAAAAAATCATCGTCACATACAGGCATCAAAATTTTATGTGTTGTTGCAAATGCAAAAGCACATATTGTCGAGAATTTTTTGGTGTGTGCATATGTATGTGTTTTCATTTTTGCTACTCACTTCCAGTTCAGCAACCAGAGAAGCTTGATTGCATATTTATGCAAAAGTAACCCAGGCTGGAATGCACCAGGTTCACCGGTGCGATCATGCGTTTTTGCACTAAACTCGCAGATCGCTATTAGCAGGAATGATCCTGACGCTGTAGGCTAACACTTGGGCTAAAACCTGTAGGTTAACACTTGGTCGTGTTTTGATGCTTTCCGGCATGCAGGGGGAAAGGGGGTCAATTGGGATGAAGGTGGTGCATTATAGAGCCGCACGGACATCCAGGTGCATGATTACCGGTTTT